GAGGAGAATGGAGGAGAAGGGATTGCGGTGTGGCCATCCCCCCTGGGGGGTGATTTCTCGCTTTCTCTTTCTCTGTCTCTCTCTGTCTGGCGAGCGCATGCACCCTACAGCAAAAAAATAAATAAATAAAAAACTCTCCAATTTAATAAATTCTAATTGTTTTTTATTATTTTTTTCTTTAAATTTATTTATTTACGTTCATTCACTATACATCATCACAGCAAACAAAATGAGACTTCCCATCCAGAATACACTGTTTATTGGCTCAATTAAGAACATCAACAAACATGTTGTCATCAACAAGCAATTTTCTATTTATTATTTCCTGCATATTTTATTTTTGCCATTCTTGATTCCCTATCTCTCACCATCTTCCGTGTCCCACCCTCCTCCCACACTGTCTCTGGTATCCATGGTTGCTGACTATGCCTTTCCCCCCATTTTATTTATTCGCGAAAGAACTTAATTAATCTAGATACTTCCAATAGCAAGCACAGCTGATATATACAAATCCATGAACACAAGTCTTACCCTAGGCATAAACCTCAGTGAGTAGAATGAACATACAACAAAGTAGCACCCAGCTGGGACTATATAGCTTACTGCAGTCCTTAAATATGCATTTTTTTTTAATTTCATGAAAAATAGTTTTCATGATTTTTTTTCTCCTGAAATTTTTTTTAATTATTTAACTTACATTTATCCCCTAATCATCACAGGTTGTCCATCCAGATTATATTGCATAGTGGCTTAATCTTGTATGTTATCAATAATTTTCCATTTCTAGTTTCATATATATATATATATATCCCATTTTTATTATTCTTTAAAATTACATGGAAATCATGGCATCTATGCTCTCCTTGAGTCTGTATATTATTATGTGGTATTTGTCAATTAAATCAACAATTATATTTATCAATATATTAAATACTTCCTCATCACAATTTTGTTTCAAAACTATAACTTTGCTTTAAAAATGACAATATATACAAAAAGCATAAAATATATAGCATATTAGAAGAAAATACCATAACAGAACTGTAGTTACATAGTGGTTTAGATCATAGTCATTTACTGACTCTGTATCTTGCAAAGAACTGTCTTTAAAAATGTCTTTCAGTAGATTAGATCTCTTAAACTGTGAAGCAGAAATAAAAAAGCTCCTTATATATAAGATTTAAGTAGTGTATTTTAAACACTAATGTAGTAACTTTTTTAGCTGATTACTTTTTAATTTGTAATGTGAGCATATTTATGAAGACATTCTACTTTGAAATAATTACAAACTTGACATTTTACAAAACTAGGATAAAAATTCCAATATGGCCTAGATTCCTCAAATGTTAACATTTTATTACCTCACTTTTGTTCTCTGACTCTGAATCATTCAATTTTTCTGAACCATTTGATAGTAAGATATAGGTAAAATATCCCTTTACCTCTAAATATGTTAGTATGTACTACTTAAAAACAAGGACATTCCCTTATATAACCATATAAAACTGGACAAAATTGAGATATGGATATTTTTACAATACATATACATAATCTACAAATTTTATTCAAATTTTGCCTAATGTTTCAATGATACCCTTTACATAGGTACCTCATTCTTATATTGTTTCTAACGAGAGAAATTACTATAACTTTTTTTCTTTTTCATTTTTATTTTTATATCACTAACACTATTTCAGTGGTAGAGTATTTTTTCTTTTTTTAATTTACATTTTTTAAATTTCATTTTCTTTCATACATTGAATCATATTATTTAGCTTACAAAGTGAATATTTCAAGATGTGAACATTTCTCCCTAGCCCAGTTGATAAAACTATAAAATATCTTCAACAGATAATACCACATTTCTTTGTCCCATTAATGCTTTGTCTCTCTATTTTTCTTCTAAATGTCCTTCCTCAGACCCTACTCTTTCACACACACTATATCTGGTATTTACATCCATTTACTATGGTTCTATATCCTTTAGTCAATCAGTTTCAGTCATAGCGTGTGGATACTCATAAAATCTTTTTTCTTTTATAATTATTTATACATGTAATCACTATACATAATTTAGATTGTAGAGACTTAACCCAGCATTTTATACACCTCAGTCCAATTGAGAATAATATACACATCCTCATCAACAGAAAATGAACTATACCTGTGTCCCACAAATATCTTACCTCTCTATTTATTTCCCCAAATTTCCTTTCCAGTGCTCTTCCCCTCCCTCACTCTCCTTGCACTTTGTCTCTAGTGTCCATAACAATTTTCAACACTTTTATATCCTCCAGTCTTTCGGTCTCTACCATAGAGTGCGGACAGTTGGTATGTATTAAGTGGAGACATACAATGTCTCTCTTTCATAGCCTGAATTGCTTCACTCAGCAACAAATCTTCCATAGTCATACACTTTCTAGCAAATTCCAGGGCTTTGTTGTTTTCTCTTTATAGGAAAATCTCTCCAAAAATGGAAAATGGCGTTTAGTAAGAATTTTATGGTTGGAAACAGTAAGTGGACAATAGTGTATTTCAATCACCACAGCAAAACTGCTCTCATGTTTCCATGCAGGATCCTCTCACTCCAAAGGGGGTTATCAGCCCCAGGAAAATGACACATGGTCTCCAGTGAATTGGCAATAGGAGTGATATTCTTATCCCAAACCATAGTTGGATTCCTGGGAAATTTCTTTCTTCTTTACCATTACAGTTTCTTCTGTATCACTGGATTCACTTTGAGGTCTACAGATCTGATTATGAAGCACCTGGCTGTTGCCAACTCCTTGGTCATACTCTTTAAAGGAATCCCACATGCACTGACCACTTTTGTGTTGAAGCAATACCTGAGTAATATTGAGTGTAAAGTTTTCTTCTATATTCACAGAGTGGGCAGGGGTGTGTCTTTGGGAAGCACTTGCCTCTTGAGTATCTTCCAGGCCATCATCATGAGCCCCAGGAACACCAGGTGGGCAGAGCTGAAGCTACAAGCTCCCAAATACATTAGAACTTTCAGCATCCTGTGCTGGATCTTGAACATGCTGGTCAATATCCCTGTTCATGTGTATATAACTGCCAAGTGGAACAGCAAAAATGGCACTAAGAAAATTGATTATGGATACTGTTCTTGGACTGTTAGCAATAGGGCTGCACGGCCACTACACACCTTACTGTTTTCATTCTATGATATTTTGTGTTTGGGACTCATGACCTGGGCCAGTGGCTCCATGGCTGTGATCCTGTACAGGCACAAGCAGCAAGTCCAACACATTCATGGGACCAACCTCTCCCCGAGACCATCCCCCGAGTCCAGGGCCACCCAGAGCATCCTTATCCTAGTGAGCACCTTTGCATCATTTTACACCCTCTCCACAATCTTTTCATTATATATGTCTTTTTACAACCCAGGTTCATGGGTAGGGGACACCTCTTCACTAATCACTGCTTGTTTTCCTACAGTAAGCCCCTTCGTTCTCATGAGTCGTGACCCCAGGATATCCAGGCTTGGCTCTGCCTGCTACAGGAGAAAGACACAGTTCTCTGAGTTGGTCAGATAGCTACACATTTTGTGTGATTTTATATTCTTTTTCTTTCCTTTTTCCTACAGCACAAAGTTATTTATTTTTCCCTTGCTGGGTTTTACCTCTGAAATATGTAGTTACATAGCTGACGGGATGTGAATTACCTACTGATAAAAGCTGAAATGGAGAGCTTTAGAGGGTAAGAATTCATAATAAATGTGCCCTATAATAATTTGGAAACAATGTAAAGCCAATATGATTATTTATCTTAATACTGATTAATTTTAAATGCCCTAGAATTGACTAGACATAAAAGTGAAAGAAGTACAAGTTTAATGGCAGGGCAAATCCTGACTAATTATTAATTAAGAAAATGAGAAAGAAAATTAGTGGTTCTACTGCATGTGCCCCAAAATGGAGCTAGAGGGAAAATGGTATATCAGACGCTGCAGGATAGCAAAGAAAAGGCTTGTAAATTTGACAAAGAATGTTAGCCAATAAAAATATGTACTTTTTGGTGAGAGGACAGCAGCATATTTCACATGTTTTTATGTAATAGTAGAATTCTCCTAGTAGGGCAAAGTGGTCACAAAAATCATATTAAAAGATTTGTATTAGGGCCAGCCAGGCAGCATAGTGATTTAGGTGACTATATCCCAACTGCACAGTTTGGGTGCCAGACCTGGAAACTTGGAGAACACACTGGGTGCATGGACCTTCATGTCCAGAAATATCTTGAAAGAAGAATGGGGAAGAGAAGGGATAGTGGTTTGGTCATTCCATTTGGAGGGTGATCTCTCACTTTCTCCCCTCTGTCTTTCTCTGGCACACACCATATTACAAACTAGAAACAAAATATGTGTTTTAACTAAAATTCAAGGCCCAGTTGATTAATATGAGACTAAATATTAAAATTAATTTCAAATATTAATACTAAGACTAAAAGAAAACTGGTTTTTGAAATCCTTAGTAAATTGCAACAGTCTGTGAAGCAGACACACATGGGAAGGTGGTCAGTTTGTGTTTGAACCCTCCCCTGGGTATGCCAGGCATATGTGTGTGCATGATCAGGGGTTGGTTGAGGCTGGGAATGGATCACTATATCAAGAGTCTGCCAGGGTGTTGTATCTCTTTTTCTCTTTCTCTCTCTCTTTCTCTCACTCATGATGTAAAGAAACAAACATTTTATAAACAGAGGTTTTTGATATAGGGAACGTGCACTTGCTGGAGAGACAGAGAGATAGAAAATGAGAGATCATCCCCTCAGGATTGATGGCCACACCACAATCCCCTCTCCTCCAATCTTCTCTCAAGATTTTGGGCACACAGGGAACCAGCAGTTAGCGTAATGGCTATGTCGCTGGACTCCCACGTAGTCGACTGTGGTTCGTGTCCCGGACCCGGTGGCTTAAAACTCATGCCGGGCACGTGTGCGTGCGTGCCCAAGATCCCGAGAGG